TAGACACCCAAATCTTCTTAGGCCTACTCTTGTTGGGAGGTCCTAAGAACATGACTTTCATCTTTCCACTAGAATCTTTTCTAAGCATGTAGTGAGCATTGAAAGCAAAGGGTCTAGCATGCTTGGGCAAGGGTTGTGGTGGTGGAGTTTGACACTCATGAGCAAAGTGGCCTTCTTGTCCACACTCAAAACATCTCTTTGGCTTTAGCTTTGGCTTTGATTGTTGGTGTTGAGCTTGAGCCTTCTTCTTCTCTACACTTGCCATATATCCAATGCCACTTCTATCCATCTTTATGACGGTATTCATGAGTAGCTCACTTTGGAGATGCTTGCCTCTAGCAAACTTGCTCAATCCCACTTTGAGATGCTCTTTCTCCATCTTGAGCTTCTTGTTCTCTTCCTTGAGAATATCATTGTTCTTTTCTTCCTTGAGTTTCTTGTTTTCTTTTTTTAGCTTCTCATTCTCAAGGATCAAATCTTTGTCATGATCAAGAGTTTCTATCACAATGGTGTTGTGACTTTTCATCTCTTCAAGATCTTTCATGAGCTTCTCATTGTCACTCTTGAGCTTGACATACTCATCATAGTCATTGCACTCAACCACTTGCTTGCCTTTGCTACTAGATCCATGCTCAATGCTCTCATCAATTAAATCATCACATGAGGTAGCTATATCAATCTTAACAACATGGTTAGTAGCAACATGTGGCTCATTTGGTAAGAATTCTTGTGCAATAACAAGAGTATCATAATTGATCTTTAGAGTTGTATATTCATCTTTTAGCTTGTTGTGACTAGTGATAAGCTCATTGTGCACCCACTCAAGTTTATCATATTTATCTTTAAGCTCTTTCTTAGAAGATTTGAGCTCCTTGAGTTTGGATGATATAGAATCATTTGTTTCTTTGAGCTCATCATTAGTCTTTTCTAATGTATCACACTTAGCTAAGAGTGAATCATTTTTAGCATCAAGTTTTTTATTTGTAGCTCTACTCTTTCTAATGATCTTAGTGTATTTTCTTAATATTTTGACAAGATCATCATATGTGGGTGAATCGTCATCGCTATCGCTATCATCATCACTAGCTTGCTCATCATCACTACTATCATCACTTTTAGTTACCTTGCGTTCACCCTTGGCCATAAGGCATAGGTGTGTAGAGGATGATAGCGATGGTGGCGGTGAGGATGCAAGATCAATAGCAATGGCGGCCACCTTCTCATTGTCACTCTCATCATCGGATGATCCACTTGATGAATCAATGTCCGTGAGCCAATCACCGACAATATAGGCCTTGCCACTCTTCTTCTTCTTGTAGAAGTCTCTCTTTTTGCCATATCTCTTCTTGTATGGCTTGTTCTTTTTCTTTTCATCTTCATCACTTGAATCATCTTTCTTGCCCTTGTTCTTGAACTTGTCTTTCTTGGGCTTTGTGCATTGATGAGCTAGGTGGCCAAGTTCGCCACAATTGTAGCAATCCATCTCAGAGATTGGCTTTCTTCTTGAGCTAGTGAAGAACTTCTTCTTCTTGCCGTCAAACTTGATGCCACTCTTGTTTAGCTTCTTTAGCATCTTGGCGGTCTTCTTCACCATGAGAGCAAGACTTTCTTCATCATCTTCATCACTTGAGCTCTCATACTCAAGTCTTGCCTTGCCCTTATCTTGGCTAGCTTTGAATGTTAAGTCCTTCTCTTTCTTCTTTGTAGAGGATGAGCCATCTTGTGGCGTGATGTGCATGTACATCTCATGAGCATTGATCTTTCCCAAGATTTGTGTCGGTGTAGCGGCGGAAAGATCACCTTGATGTAGCACGGTCACAATGTGCCCATATTTATCAATGGGGAGGACACTCAAGATCTTTCTCACAACGTCGGATGGTGACATTTGAGTAAGTCCAAGCCCATTGACTTCCTCTACAAGAACATTTAAACGAGAATACATTTCATTAGCACTTTCTTTGGGAAGCATCTCAAAAGAATTTAGCTTTTTAATCACAAGATGATAGCGTTCCTCACGCTCACTCTTGGTTCCCTCATGGAGCGCACAAACGTCCGACCATAGAGCATGGGCGTCTTTGTGGTTCCTTACACGATTGAACACATCTTTGCAAAGGCCTCTAAAGATGGTGTTGCGAGCCTTTGCATTCCATTTTTCATAGTTTACTTCATCGCCTTGGAGTTGTGTGGCATTCTTAGGTGTTGGGAACCCTTGAGAGGCGGCTCTAAGAATTCCAACATCTAGAGCTTCTAGGTAAGCCTCCATGCGAATTTTCCAATATGGAAAATCATCCTCCTCGAAGATAGGAGGAGGACCATCCCCGTGAGACATCTTGCTCTAAGCGGTTAGGCTTAAAAACATGAGCACGAGGCTCTGATACCAATTGAAAGGATCAAGATGCCCAAGAGGGGGGGGTGAATTGGGCTAATTCTAAATTTTCTTGCAATAATCAAATCCTACGGATAGCCCAATTAATCCCTTGTGCCTAGACAAAGTGTTTCTATCAAATCAACGCACAAAAGACTTGCAACCTATGTTCCAAACTTACTCTAGCATAGCAATTCTATGAATGTAAAGGCAGTATTGAATTGCTCAAAGTAAATACTTAAAGTAAATACTCAAAGTAAATGGAGAGAGGAGCAGCGATGATGTTTTGCCGAGGTATCGAGAGAGTCGCCACTCTCCACTAGTCCTCGTTGGAGCACCAGCGCAAGGGTGTAGCTCCCCCTTGATCCAGCGCAAGGATCAAGTGCTCTCTCTGAGTTGATTCTTGACACTCCGTCACGGCGAATCACCCAAAACCGCTCACAACTTGAGTTGGGTCACCCACAAGCTCGCGGGTGATCACCAAGCTCCCAATCACCACCAAGCCGTCTAGGTGATGGCGATCACCAAGAGTAACAAGCACGAACTCTCACTTGACCACGTGAAGCCTAATGAGAAGATGGATGCACACTTGTCTACTCTTGATTCACCAATGAGGTTTCACTCTTGGATTCTCAAATCACAAACACCTCACTAGGACCTTACTCTTCTTGGCACTCACAAACGTGTTTCTCATTTGTTGGAATGAGCAAAAGTCCCTCCACACTCGATTGGAGCTTCTATTTATAAAGCTGACTGAAAAAGCGAACCGTTATGAGCTTCGCAGGATGATGGGGACGCTCGATCATATTGGCCGGACGCTCCGGTCCAGTTCTTCAACCCATAGCATTTCAAGTGATGACCGGACGCCAGCAGGTCCGGTCGGCCTTGACCGACGCGTCCGGTCGCTCTTGGATGCTTCTTGTAATCGGCCGGACCACTGGATACTCGTGGTCCGGTCACCTTAACCGGCACGCGTCCGGTCACACTTCTCAAGTCTGGACCCTTCTTGGAGTCGGCCGGACTGGCTGCCCCCTGCGTCCGGTCACTGACCTTCCAGCGTTCGGTCACTCGGACATGTTCTCCTCGATCAAATGGAAACCCGGACCTGCGGCCCGGCGTCCGGTCATACCGGAGCCGGCGTCCGGTTAGTATTTGACCCTCCATTCACTTCAACTCTCGATCATATGAGAATGAAGTTTGCTCTAAAGGATCTTAGGCATTCATAGGAGCTACCTAGAGCTAGTTTTAACAAGTGTGCACCACACCTAACTCACTAGACTCAACTAGGTCAAGCTACCCGTTCATACCCCCCTTCATAGTACGGCCAAAGGAAAAACAAAGTCCTAAACTACTCTAAGTGTCTCTCCAACTTCAATTGACACTTAGAACTAGTTATCCTTAACCTTGTCGTCCATCCTTTGAAAACCGAAACGATTTCCATCGTGGGGGCATGACAACCTCAATTGCCCAATCGATCTCCATTACCATGACCTAACTTAATTGCCTCTGCAAAACACACGTTAGTTATAGTAATCTTGTATTGACATTAATCACCAAAATCCACTTAGGGGCCTAGATGCTTTCACTATAATAGCTAATCTGCGCATACATTTCAGATAGATTAAATGAGCAGAACAAATAATTAGCTTCACAACATGTGCAGTCCCATAAGTTTTAAACCAATGTACTTCAAAATCTTAATTTTGTATCAAGGGATTCAATTAAACTTGTGTTATGGTTGAAGCCGGTAATCAGCACAGCTGGTGAAAATCATTAAAGTAGCACGGTCATCTGATAGATGGCAGGGAACAGTGAAGCTGGCATTTCAAGGTGACTATATCTAATCTTTTTCACAGATCCCTCAGTGTTGTTATTAGGTCTATAATCAGAACAGTTGGTGAATCACAGGAGCAATGTATGGTACCTGACTTCTGAAAAACAAACAACGAAGCACATAGTTTTCATACCCTGCAAGTGAGGAATAGGTGCTGAATAGCAGGTTAGAACTAAAATAGGAATTAAAAAATCACCATGTTTTCAAGGGCATGAATTAGGGCATTGCGATGCTCAGATACATGAAGTGGCTTTGTTAGCACTCCTTCTCAGCTACCTGAAATAATGCTACATCTGCATAAAGACACTGATGGGCAGACCAGGAGATGGAGCAGAGGAGTCGATCACCTGAAAACCAAAAGGAGAAGAAAAATACCTACTGGCTGCTGTCTGTGGCCTTTGCTGCGGGTGGCCGCTAGGCGCTGGCCCTTGGCCTGCTTGCTGCTGCCTAACTGCCTCTGCCTGCCGGGCAGCTAGGCAGTCGGGCACAGCTACCGCAGTGCCGCCTCCAGCCTGCGCCCTGCCTCTGCCTTCGTAGCTCCGCCCGCTGGCTCGCGTCGCCGCGGTGCTCAACTGCTGCTGGCTGCTGCGGCCAGTGGCCCCGCGCTCACACCCGTGGCCATGCACCACCGCCGCCCGCCCTCGGTGCCCGTCGGCGGCCGCAAACCCTGGAAGCCGCCGCTGCCGGCTCTGTCGAACTGTCGAATCTGCGATTCCTTCGATGTAGACTGGGAAGCGGCAGCAAAGGAGGCGACGGAGCATAGAGAAGTGGACGGAGCACGCGAGGAGGAGCGGCGGAGAAATGGAGGATGACGATCCAGAGGAGAGGAAATCGCTGATGGCAGGTTGGAAAGAAAGGGTGAATGCGTGTACTCGTCCTCAAGGTCAGCCATAGCAGACCTGAGCATGGCCATGCCCAAATCTAGGAGGAGGCGAAGATGGAGGGGCAAGCAAACAGGGGTGGAGGAGACGCGGTCGCGCGGCGGCCCGACGGAGTGGAGGGCGCAGCGTTGTGGTGCGGGAACCAAGGATTGGAGGAAACAGGGGTGGAGACGCGGGCACACGCCGGCCCGACGATGTGGAGGGCGCAGCGGTGCGGGGGCGGAGCAGAGGATTGGAGGCGACGGCGGACGGAGGGGTCAAAATTTAGGAGATGACGTGGAGAGCTCTCGCATGGCCATTTTTCCCCGCACACGCACGACCTCTCTCCTGTGTGGAAGATGTGCTGCAGTGGTGGGTCAGAAAAGCCACGCGGCCTGGAGGGAGAGGGCAACGGAGCGCTGAGGCTCTCAGATTGGCTGAGCCTACGTAAACAGTAATGTGAACAGGAACCAGGGCTGCTCAGAAGACGCGGATTCTAGGAGCTTTATGGAGTTTAATATTTTCAAAAGAAGAAAGCCCAAAAAGAATACCTGAAGCATAAATGCGTAATACAGCAATCTGGCACCGTATGATATCTGTACCATTAATCTGAAGGACAGGCACTTAAAGATGCAAAGTATTGAGCAGCAGGCAAGTTGACATAGAAAACAGCAGGAGTATAATGACTTAATGAGCTCTGAAAGTGAAAGACAGTTTCAATCACTCCTTACAGCCACTAGATTCAGAAAGCGAATTCATTAAGATTGCACGAAACAAGAAGGCTAAATTGCAGCAATGGAACTTACAAGAAGTTAATAATCCTTAGTAAGCTAAATGATTCTTTTCAATGATCTAGCAAGCTATACAATCGATTCTTAATGAAATGGCACACAGATTTCCAGCATAGCTCGATAAAAAAAAAGCTAGATGATCGATTTGATCATCCTAACAAATTCAATGCCGAGTAGGAAATAAGGCTTTGGAAGCTGCAAAAGAAAATAGAAAAATGCTGTAGTGACATGTTTGCCATAAATACAACATGGCCTTTGCTTCCTACTGCTTTGCCAGCCTAACCTGTGATCCTGCGCCAACATGATGAGGGTCAGTGCACTCATTCTGAACAGCTAATGCAATGAAAAGATATTATTAGAGAAAGCATGGACTTTTGTTTACTATATTGCCTTTGATTTCTCCACCTGCACTTCAAAAACAAGTGCCCTCCTTAATGGTGTGCCATCCAGTGTGATAGTGAAAGCACATTACTAATAGAAAAAGGAGCCTGTTGTAGTGCTGTTCCTCAAAAGCACATACGTATGGTGAAATTTCAGATCACGCTATGATATTGGTTACTGTGTCATGGCCGATACTAACACAGGGGGAAATTCAGGAATTCCTGTTAGTGCTGGTGCTATATTGAACCTACTAAAGTTGTTAGTCAGTTTCTAGGTTAATTAGCACAAGTAACATGTTCCACACTTTCCTTATGAAACTTCTACTAAGAAACCTTTAAGCAAAAATCATCCAGCATTGGCAAATGGCAATGATACTTTTCACCTAAAAACTAGCAGGCATCAGCTGCTCTTATATGGGGCCATGGGGGTGGTAATCCTATATCCAAAAATTCATTGCATAAAAACCTCATTCGAGACACCACTATGGTTTTGTTTTGTAATAAATACAACTTATAAAGTAACATGAGACAAAAGAATGTGGTTACCGATAGCAACCGAAGAACAAACAGAAATGCCCCCTTTGAGCATGCCCCACCTTGGTGAAAAAAGAAGAGCAACATGAAGGGGTCCTTCTATTATATAAAAAAAACACAAGTGCAATTGTCCACTCATTTTGTGAAAATAGATAGTTTTGTCCAAATTAAAGGTTAAAGGTCTACTATCGTTACAGAAAGGTGGGATGTGAGAAGTGTCAAACGAGAAAGAAAGGTGAGGAGCATCGTCATATTCACATCCCATCGACCTCCAGGTCCAGGATGCTGTTTCTGATTTGTCAAATGACTGAGAGAGACCAGCCACCAACCTGCCTGAACGGTGAGGTCGAGGCAAAGTATTATCTCAAAGTATATCTTGCCTTTGAGCTAGTATGCTACTGCCTTAGGTAAAACCTTTTTTTTATCACTCACTGGTGTTTAAGAATGGTCAAATCTTTTAAACTCCACTCTATAAATAAGTTAACAGGTATGTATACATGGATTCGTCTGAGTTGGTAATTTAAACATGTGGTTTTACATACAGTGTAATAATATGCAAAACACTTTTCTTTTGTGATTCGAGGGAGCAATCATTGGTGACCTATATGGGCCATCATATTCCAGTCATCGTGTCTCTTGCCACTATTACTTGAACAAGACTTGACATGCTAGCGCTAATTTCACGTTATCGCCTTGCAAACTAACTGTATCCCATGCTACGCTACATAGTAGCTATAGAACGCAGAAACACGAGACAGTGAAGGGGCACAGTGTAGCACAACAATGAAAGGTAACAACAGCCATCCACCATGAAAAAAAAGCTAAACATTTACATAAATTGTTAAAGGTAGTTAGTCCAGTCTAACACATTACTCCAGAAACCAACAAAGAAGAAAACAAACAGCATTTCGACATACAGGAGCCACTTTCAGATTAATGACGATACAAAGAAGAGCTAACTACACTACCAATGAGGCATATGCATACATTGTACATTAGCTATCTTTACAGTGCTGAACTGCAGTTGGTATATGGTGTAATATTGGCCCTGATATTGTCCTCAAATGAAATCCATGGAGTCGTTTAGGGACTGACCACTGAGCGACTGCCCCCCATTTGATGGACTCTGGTGACGATGGTTTTGATTGTGATGCTGAGCCTGGTGGCCACCAAAGTACGACATCTGCTGCTGCTGCTGCTGTTGTTGCTGCTGCTGCTGCACGAAATAGGATGGAATCTGCTGCTGGAGTCCACCATTGAAGGGGTTCCCATTCATGTTCCCGACTTGTCCTGCAGCTATCTTAAGTCGCTGGACTTCTTCTCGCAGGGCTTCATTCAAAGCTGTGTGAGGTGGCAAGTGAAATATTTCAGTGAGCTGATTCCCTAAATAACTAGGAAATTAGAACTGTTCTATTTCATTAGTGACAGATAAATAAACTTGTCAGTATAACCAAAGATCTTGGCAGTGAATTTTGTGTTTTAAGAGCAATCAATGATGACAACCAGGAGAACTAAAAATGTTTCAAAGAAAGATCAGAGCATACCATCTCGCAGTTTAGCTTGCTCTTCCATGGACTGCAACCGAAGCTTGAGCTCTCTGTTTTCAGTAGTTAAACCAGTTGTATCCCTCTGGGTTTGAAGTAAAACGCAGTATGTCAGACATGACAATGTTATATATGCGGAGAACAAATAAAAGGTTGCATCATAAAATGTTAAAACATATCCAGAAAAGGGAAAAGGGTATATAAGTCGTTGGTTGGCAGTCTTCAATAACAATAGTACAATACCCTACCAAATATTCTCAGACATACAAAAGGGAGGTTATGCAACAGCAACATGAAAATATCAATAAAGCAAGAGTGCACGACTATTGGAAACATTACTCCAATACTGCACAAACAGAAATTACTAAAGTGGGAATGTTAAACCTGCAAAAGTATACTATTAAACAATAATTACTTATTTCGGAACAAAAGCAACATATTCCATGACACTCAGCATGAGATAATGCTAGCTCTCAAATCATACTAAACTAACTATATTGCTTTGGAAGTGTTGAAGGTCACATACTGGATAAAGATAAAGACAGGACTTATAGAAAAGAAAAGATAAAGGCAGGACACCTTTCATTATATTGTGAAAATTGGCCCTACAAGTGCTACATGAACAATAGCAAATCACAAGATGAATTAGGCCCAGCTATCTCATCACCAATCCTCTTATTTCTTTCTTTATTTAGGGCATAGTGTTACTCCTGGGATTGTAAGCTGACTATCCTTGCCAAACTAAATGGTAGATTACTAGCCAAGTTGTTCTTGATAGAGAAATATCTTCTATCTGTGGCCACTTAATCTTCACCTTAACACTAAACATCTGATTCTATCCACTTCAATCAAATAATACTCTGAAATGGAGCATCAATGGCCCTTTCGTGGTGAGTAGTGACCTATCGGTCCCCAAACATCCGCTTTTACCTCTAAAGACTAATAGGCACATTGAAATATTGACTCCTACCCAACTCCATTTGCCACGCCAACTATAATTCCATAGGCAGAAGTGCACACAAAGGAAATAAATGCTTAAGCTCTAATTACATCTTAAATATCAATGTATACAAATATGGCCTCCATGCACCCAAATGTAAACACCATGCAAATTTGTATAAAAATTCCTGAAAAGATTTGAGAATCTTAATAGCAAACCAATTTACCATGCCTTTCTAACTTGCCATTAACAGATCAAATTGTAGTGCACACTTGAGTCACGATTTATTCTCCATACACAAACAACGCCTAACAATATGATACATTCAAACACTAGGTGCACAAGTATAAATGACCATACATAAAATAGGCTGTTTGCAATATCGAGATTTTTTTTTCAGGCATATGTTGCATACTTACATCTGCATCCTTTTCTGGCACGTGCATTCATTTAGATATGGTCAGTAATTAGGTATATAGTACCTTTCATTGCACTTGCTTCAATCCTAAACAACCATGTTCTGCAGCTAGTGCTTACAAATGCAAACTGAAATGACTAAGTTGTCACAAAAGTACCAAAGCCCAATCCCAGTTCCCAGTATCAATTCATGTTACATGGCATGCTACATTCCTTATAAACTGCTGCGCTCTGGCAAAAGTGGAAATAATAAAGCTACTTCAAAGTGATTGTTCGATGAGAATAATTTTCAAACAAACCAACTAATTCACTCAAAACAGCAATAAACAAATGTAGTCCAACCAAACATGAACCCTACATTCCTTATAAACTGCTGCGCTCTGGCAAAAGTGGAAATAATAAAGGTACTCAAAGTGATTTTTCGCTGAGAATAATTTTCAAACAAACCAACTAATTCACTCAAAACAGCAATAAACAAATGTAGTCCAACCAAACATGAACCAAGCCCCCGCCCCATGCATGCGGCGACACACAGACACAGAAATCGATGTGTTATTTCACAAGCACACAACCAAAAGCCTATCAGAAAGATGAAGCTGATTTGGTGTAATTCTTCACACCAATTCTCGTCGAACTTAAATGATTTTGAAACAAAATATAACCCCATACCTGGAGCAGGGTGA